CGACCTGCAGCCCCGGCCAGTGCCCGGAGAGCTCCCCGACTGACCCCCGGCAGAGAGGGCCGCGCCAGACGGCCAAGACAGGGGCCGAGCCGAAGGAAGGGGTCGCCGGAGACCTTTCCCGAGCGCTCCAGGCAGGCGGCGGGTCCTCCTCCGCCCACGACAGCGAATCCCCCGGCCCCGGCCCGGAGGAGCCACAGGAGTCACTTACCCGCTCCATCTGCCCGGAGTTCGCCTCCCCGACGACTGCCGCCGCGGAGCTCCGCTTCCCTCTCCGAGACCATCGCGTCTCCCGGCAGCCGGAGCGAGTCCTTCCTTCCCGGCCGGCTTCTGGGCTCTTCGGGCGCTGGTCCAGGCCCCGGCCGCCACACTCTCGGCGCGGCTCCTTGGCCGCTCCCCCCCCCTCCACGATCTGGATCCTGCCTCCGGATTCCCCGAAGAGCCAAAGGGAAAGACGGAGAGGCCCCCTCCCGCGATCCCAGGAACCCCCGTTCCTCCTCCCGCCCGCGCCGGGAGCTTCCTTCTCCCCGGGGGCTGCCGCCGCCGCAAGGCCTCAGATCCGGGGTCGGGGTGTGGGGGTGGGCGGCGGCTCTTTTTGCCGAGCAGCCGCCGGGCGCGGTTGGCCGCTTCCTCTGGGGGTCTCTCCCCCCCCCTCCGAAGGCGGCCGCGCGGGCCCTCGGGGGAGCCCGGGCCGAGAGGGTTAAGCGCCGGCGACTCCCCCTTACCTTTCGCGCAGCGAAAATGTCGGGGAGGGCGGGGGAGGGCGGGAGGGAAGACCAGGCGGCGCGCCCCCGCGCCTCCTCGCCACTCCGGACAATTAGCCGCCCGCGACCGGCCGTGCCCGGCGCGGGACCGAACTGGGGAGCCCCCCCCTCGGCCTCGGCCCAGCATGCCCTGGCCCGGCGCTGGCCCTCCTGGCTTGCTGGCCCTGGTGGCCCCGGGGCTGGCGCTGCTGGCTCACCTCTCCTTCCCCACGCAGGCGGGCCCCAGCCCCGCGCAGGGCGCCTCGGGCAGGACGCTCATCCTGCTGGACGTGAGCGCCAGGAGCCCCCTGCGCCTCACCAGCCCCAACTTCCTCTCGCTCCAGCTCGACCCCTCCATCCTCCACGACGGCTGGCTGGACTTACATGTTTGCAATGGAGGCAGCATCGCGGCGGCGTCTGGCTGCCTCCTCTTGCCCCCGCCCCGCTCGCCAGAGCTGCCCAGGCGCAGGTCCCAGCCCCGCTCGGCCCGGCGGGCGGGGGGCGCAGCAGCAGCTGCAGCCGCAGCAGCCCCGGGGCTCCAGCGGAACGAGCCCCGGCCCGAGAGCCCCTCGAGGGCAGGAGGAGGCGCGGTCCCCAGGGCCGGGCGAGGGCACCCGGCTCCGTCCGACTCACGCGGCCGCCCCTGCTTTCCTCCTTCGCAGCTCCCGGCGCCTGGTGACCTTGGCCCGTGGCCTGGCGCCCGCCTTCCTCCGCTTCGCCGGCAAGAGGACCGACTTCGTGCAGTTCCAGAACGTGAAGAACCCGGCCAAGAGCCGCGGCGGCCCCGGCCCCGACTACTACCTCAAGAACTACGAGGACGGTGAGCCCGCGGGAGCGAGAGCCAGCCCGGCCGGGAGGTGGAGGGGGGAGGGCCGGGAGGAGGCGGCCCGGGCGAAGGGAGGGACACGGCCGCTCCGGCAGGCGGGACTCCCCGGCCGCTCCCGACGGGTGGATGGGAGACCTCCTTGGAATACCAGAGGTGTGAGGCGGGAGCAGGCTTTATTTAGCCACCTCTCTGGATATCCTCCTGGCCCCTAGTAGGGGTCAGTCACCACAGGTTGCTATGATTTCCAGGTGCACACACACACATTAAAAAATTTTCTTGTTTTGCTTAATCCTAGGGGATGCATGTCTAAGGGAAAGGACAGACACACACAATTCAGTATCTTGGTCTATATGTAATAACCCATAATATTTGATACATTTGATGAATCTATATTTTCCCCTACCTCCGCTTCCCTTTTGTATCCCACTTTTATGAGAAAATATATATATTTTTAAAAAAATAATCTTGATCATGGCTCTCTGTATATTTTAAAAGAGACACAAAGGGTGGCGAATGTGACATCCTGCCCCTGAACCTGAGAGGTTGCTGAGGGCGGTAGGCACTCCATGTGAGGGAAAATAGGCATCACAGAATGATTGGTCTAGACAAATCAAAATGTGGGCTGCTTTGAGCCAATTTTTCTATTACATGTCCTAAAAACTACAACATGTTTTTTCCAAGGTCAGTTGAGCTTAAGCAGTCCTTATGTTGGGCCTGTGTGCTAGATCTAACCTCATTTCAGAGCAGGGCACCGCTCCGGCAGGCGGGACTCCCCGGCCGCTCCCGACGGGCAGCTGCTGCCCAGTGCAGAGGAAGAGGGGCCACGGCAGCCTCACCCCAGCAGCAGCCCGGTCAGCGCGGCGGCAGGCGCCGGGAAGCCACCTCCGCGGGCGGGCAAGGAAGCCGCAGCCAGCCAGCCCTCCCCGAAGGGGCGGGGGACACCCGCAGTGCGAGAGACTCGCGTCTCCTTCCCGCTGGCGACTCATTGGGCTCCACCAGCCGTGCAGGGTGTGGCAGACGTGACTTCTTATCTCGGGCCAGGAGGGCTGGAACAGGCCGGCCCTCGGCAGGGACTGGGGCGCTTGTGAGAAACTGGTCTTAGTACAAGCGCCTGCAGGAGGAGGGGGAGGAAGGACCAGACTTCTGCCAGGGTAGGAAGGGAGCACAGAGATCTCACGTGTGAGCCTCTGGGCGACAAGTGCGCCCTTAGGATGGTGGATGTTTGTGCCATATGGACCTCAATCCCAGGGGGCAGGGGGGCCCAGAAGCAAAAAGGGCAGCTAGGTCGTCTGATTCAGTGGCCTGGTAACCACCACACACAAGGCCACAGGCCCAGGATGAGACTCTCTTTGCCCAGAGAGGGCAAGGCAGCCGTCCCTTCCAAGCTCACATGTGTTGGGTGAGAGTGAGATATTGAAAAATGGCATTTAGCAGAGATAAAATAGTCCAGCAGAGCCAGAGTAAAATAATTCAGACTGAGAGTCCATGTGTGATTAAAATATAAAGTTTTTACTAAATTCTATCATGGGAAGGGTAACTGGGATGAAAATAACTAAAGAGCATAATCGGCTACATCCTTACTCTACAAAGACAAAACTAGAAGAGAGAGAGTATGGCTACTCTTCTTGTTCTTCAGAACACCAAAACAAAGGTGGGAAAAATGGTAATACACCTTGACACTTTAGTCCCAATCAAATTCCTAGATCAGGGAGAAGATTCCCGGGCATCCTACAGCTAAAGAACATTGGTTACATGAGAAACATGTGACTTCCTGTGAGTAACATAAACAAACATTTAACCCCAGATATACTGAGTGTTTTCAACTTGTAATACCCAACACCCCTTCTCAAGTTATAACACTAAAGTCATGCAAATTCAAACATTCACGAAGAGTCTCAAAACGTTGCTTGCCAAGCGGCTTGGTCAGGATGTCGGCAATCATCTGATCAGTAGGACAGTATTGGAGTTCAGTCAGTCCTTGGTCTTGCAGCTCTTTCATGTAGTGACATTTGAGTGCGATGGTATTGTTTTTAGATTTGGTGTCTTCACCTTTGCAGATGGCGATACAAGCTTGATTGTCCTCAAAAAGTATTATTGGCTTTGGTTCATCTATGCCGAAGTCTTTCAGTAGATGAATAATCCAGTAGAGCTCATAGCTGGCACTTTGTGCTGATACACATTCAGCTTCTCCAGTAGACATGGCTACAATAGTTTGCTTTTGTCTAGTCCATTCAATCAAACTGTTTCCAT